TGGCTACCGACTGAGCTGTGACCCCTCCTCTGCTTTTCACACCCAGGCTCGGCTAATATTCCTGAAATCGGCGCCAGCAAAGGTGTTATTCTTAGAAGACAAAAACACCCTTTGAAGTCCCTGTCACTCTATTTTTAACTTTTCTTCCTTCCTGGTAAATATCTAATTAGACACCAAGCCCAGGCGGTATTTTTCCCTCCAGAAGCGTGCTCGATCTGCCCCAGTGGCTCCTCTCTCCTCTTCACAGCTGAGGGGATGTTGGGATCCAACCAAGGGCTCCTTCCCCACGGCCCGAGCTCCTCGGCTGGCAGCAGCACTGGCCTCCCTTGCCTCAGGAGGGTGAAGAACGGCCGTGGCTCTGCCGGCGACTGTCCATCCGTCCTGCTCCTCACCCAGCTACAGCATCCCCTGCAGAAGAGAAACGAGACACAGTCAGGACCTGCCTGAGCCCTCCTGCACCCCGGCCCAGGGCAGAACGGCTCATCCAGACCCCGAGGCTTTGCCTTTGAAGTTGTATTTTTTGCTGCCCGGCTCAGGATGGTTCAACTGGGCAGGACTGGAAACAATGAGCGCCCCTTTCCCACGCCCACTGCTCAGGCTGGACGGTTCCTCGTGGTGCTGTCTTTTGCTGCCCGGCTCAGGATGGTTCAACTGGGCAGGACTGGAAACAGTGAGCGCCCCTTTCCCACACCCACTGCTCAGGCTGGACTGTTCCTCGTGGCCCCCCGGGCTTGCCAAGGGCTCCCACCCGAGGAACACGCAGGGTCTTGCCTTCCCCTAACATCTGACAAGATTCAGAAGCTCAGTTCAGGAATCCAGCCCTGCTCACGCTGCCCCGCTCCTGCCCAGGAATGCAGGAATTCAGACAAACCCAGCAGGCCATAAACCCCCAAAATACCTTTGCTTACAGGATTAAACACCTACAGCTGCTTAGGGCAGGATTCAGCCTCCAGTGGTGGAGGTGTTCAAAGACAAACACCCTGAACACCATGGTGGAGATGGAGCCATGGAACACAACGTCTCAAGCACAAAGTTACAGCCAAAGGGAGATGGAGCTGCAGAGATTTGCCAAAATTCCTCCAAGCCCTGCGTGAGGAGCCATGCACTGGGCGTGGGGATGGTGTGGGCACCTGTGCCCGGGTGGGGATGGCCAGGGCACCAGCAGGACCCAGCTGGGACCAGCGCTGTGACTGACATCCCCAGTTGCTACCAGCAACTTTGGGGGAGGAACGTGCCACGGAGGATGCAGCTCCCATGGGATGGTCAACAAAGCAGAGCAGGACAAGTGGGAGAGCGAGAAGAGAAGGGAATACTGGAAAACAAAAGGGAAGAAGGTGACAGGAGGAGGCAGGAGAGGGAACACGATGAGCCCCGTGTGTAGGCCAAGAGGTTTGTAGCTGGCAAAGCGAATTATCCCCAGGTTTTGCTGTTCACATCTTTAAAAGCTTTGGGCTGTCGCTCAGAGCAGCAGCTCCAGAACTGCCAGCATAGCACTGCAGTGCTCAGGGATGTGACTCCATTCATAATTCATAGCCCAGAGCATCACTTCATAAGCTTCCACCCAAGCTCCTCGGAGCTCTGGGCACACGAGTTATCAGGCTGGGATGTGGTGGGTCGGGGCTGAGCTGCAGGAAGGGGCTGCCCAGCCCTGCCCAAACAAAGACCATGAGCCCAGCACCCACTCTGCACCCTCACTGCCAGCCCACAGCTCCTCCCTCACACCCTGAACTGCCAAACAGCAGGAGAATCAAGCTGAGGGACCTGGGCATGTTTGGTGGTGGCTAAATCACCTTTATCTTCCCGTAAAAACTTCCCTTTGCAGTTCCTCTGGAAAGTTTCTTTCGGGAAGGGGGCAGCCCTGCTTCAGTCCAACACCCCCATGCAGGTGCTGAGCCCAGATGGACCATGGACCTGAGCCACCAGCTTCACAGGACAGCACAGATTAACCCAGGGGTGGCTGTAGGTGACCTCAGCCCCATCTCAGTCCTCCACAGAGGAATGGAGCAGATCGCCCAGCAGCACTGGAGCTGGTCTGGGGGGAAAACCAAAGGGACAAAGTCCAGCTGAGTCCCACGGAGCCATCCCAGCAGAGCCATGCCTTAGGTGTGTGGTGCTCAGGCTGTCCAGGAAGCCACACCACATCATCCTGCCCCGTGGCACCTTCGCCAGGATCCAGCAGGTCCCGAGACCCTTTGCCAGGCTGAGCGAGGTCCCTGTGCCCAGCCTCAGCCTCTCTGAGCATCCTCCACACAGCACCACGCAGGATCACATCCCATCCCTGGGGAGCCCTGCGGGGGGCCAAGGACCCTCCACAAGCACCTGCAGCCACCCAGAAAAACCCAGCAAAACCCAAGGGAAAGGAACCCACAAACCTCTGTCCTTTCCATTTGCTTTCGGGAGGGACGCCAGGATGACAGGGCTAACACAAACAATCAAAACCATTTTCAAAGGACACCCTCTTCTCTCTAAATTACAGGGAGAATTCATCCAGGGCTGAAATTTATGCATTAGAGTCAGAGAAAACTTCTTGATCTCTGATGCTCAGAGGCCATTTGAAGGAGAAGTGGAAGGGGGGACGTGCCAACTCAGCTCTTGCCAGGATCCTGCAGAACTGTCCTCGGCCACAGCAGGTCCAAACCCCCGCGGAGCACGAGGCCGTCCTTTGGCACCAGCCCCAGCGTGCTCTCCTCCCAGCTCCTCGGCAGAGGCACCTCTCTGCCCCTTTGATCTCAAATTCCTGGGTGAGTCCGGGCTGTGCCAGGCTGTGCCAGTCCTCTGCCAGTGCAGGGTGGTCTCAGGGAGCCTCCCTGGGACGAGCCCTGGTCCCTGCACACCACCACAACAGGACTTGTGCTTCAGCAGCACCTCCGCTCCCCCGCTGCCATCGCCCCAGCCAGAGCTAAAGCACCATCTTTCAGCTAATTTTCAAAAACAGAAGTGACTCAGAAGAGATTCCCCCAGGCTGATTATGGTGGAAACAGCATTGTTGCAGCAAGCAGGAAATGCTGCGTGGTGGTTTCAGCTCCATGAGCTACCTGGGCACAATCACAGGGGCACCGTGGTCCTCGCTGGCATCGCACGGCCCTGGGCTTCACAGCACCCACCTCGGGCCTGGCAACAATCAAAGCAAGAAAACAAAATGCATTTTTGCAAGCTAGACAAGGCGGTTCCACAGGAAGATGAGGGATAAGTCAAAACCAGATAAACCAGTTTAGAAAAGCCCCAAAGCCTCTCCAATTATCTGCTCAGGGTGTTCAGAACAGCCTGGGGCTGACCCCAGGGCAGGGGAGGGGAGGTGCCTCCTCGATTTGGGGATGCCCCCACCAGCTGTCCCCCCACCCCAGCAGCCGCCATCGCCAGCCCAGGGCTGGGGCTATCTGTCATGTATTTATTACACATTAACCAGAAGTTTACAAATCTTGGGGCCAGCACGATCATTTTCACATTTTTCACATTCTTTCACATTTTCACGCCGGCCTGGAGAGCCAAGCAGCAGTTGGAGTCCAGAAAGACCTGCTGCCCTTTGAAGCACGCCCGGCTGTGCCGAGCTGTCCCCCCGCCAGCACCCCACCGGGGTGTCACAGCTCTGACCTCCAGCCCAAACCCACACCACCCTTGTTCTGCTGCCAAAAACCCCGGCAGGCATCCCCGTCCCGGCTGCGAGGAGCGGGGAGATAAGGACACAGCAGGGGATGAGAAATTCAAACCGGAGCGGGCACCCGCTGCTATCCCAGGACCACCCCGGGGGCTCCCAGCATCGCCCCTTGTGCCAGCTGGGGTCGGGAAACTGAGGCAGGGAACTCAAAGTGGTGGCTCCAGCTGTGTGTGGAGCCCCCGGGGACACGTCCCCACAGCGTGGCTCATGGCACTGACCCTACCACAGTCTGGAGGGGGTGGATGGTGGCACATCCCAGCAGGGGAGAGAGAAAAATCTGTGTTTTGTTTGCAAATTAACCAAACACAGTTTTTCTTCTTTTTCTCAAGCCCGGCCAAGGGCAGCAGGTGCCTTGTGAGGGGTTTGTCCCCAGGGCAGCGAGTGCAGGAGCTCGGTGTCTGCCCAGTTAGGCCTCCCCAGTCCTGGTGTGTTTACCAGCAAAGCTCCATTCCCGGTACAACCGTCCTGACAATGCTCTGAATAGAGTCAAGACTTTATTCCAGGAAAAGGTTTTCTACTGGAATAGTTTATACTAGTTCCCCTAACAGAATAAGCAGCACCGACAAAAACATACTTCTGCAGATTTACTAGGATTTCTGCCAGCTCCCGAGACAGGAGAATGTTTTTCACCCATCTAACTGCTCGGTCTTTCAGAGAGAAAACATTACACATGCCGAGCAGGGCTGGGCCAACCCCAGCAGAATAAATGAACTGGAAGTCCCTGACCCATCCGGCGGCAGGCGCGGGGGCCCGCGCTCCCCTTCCCTCCACAGCCCGCCCCGTTCTCCAGCTCCCGGCTGATTCATGGATCTCCTGAACCACGGATCTCTGCAGAGCCCTCCAACACCAGCCCAGGAGCAGTGCAGGCGCCCCTGGGAAGATGGGGCAGCACGTCCCGGTGCGAGTCGCTGCCAGGCA